AATGAACAACTTTGATTTCATCATTTCATACAGCATTGTTTTGCGCATCTATATTATTTAATAAACCCAATTAATTATAAATTTCTGACATACCTACTATTAGTAATTTTGGTTTTTTCTCTTTTTTGGAACTTTGGACTTTTCCTTCAAATTTTTTCCAGCTTCCTATTCGACGTTTTCTGCTGAACTTTTATTTCAACAAAAAATCGCTACTGCTCTATTCCTATTTTTAGTCATTCCACAAATATTCAAGTTTACTGTCCTGTTTTGTTTCTATTTCGTGAAAATTCGTTAAAATCCCTGCATCTCGAAAACCCTTGAGATTTCGCACCTACTCCGGAACAAAAGTTTTACCCATTTTCGACCCTCTAACCAATGGTATATGTTGTTGTAAATTTTTCTGAATCACCCTGTATGTCTGGAAAAGAGTCTATAGGGATATCATTCCTAATAAAAATTCAAATAAAACACAAGAAATTCTAAGGAAAAATAAAACTAAAAAAATAACGTACAAAATGGAAAAAATTGGAATTTTTCTAAAGTTTGAATGCTTGCTATTTCGAATGTATAAGAAATACGTAATCAAGTAATATCTTATTTATCCTTTGAAGAACTGAGAAATTAGAAATTTCGTAAGAATTCATTAAAATTTCTATATCTCGGAAATCGTTATGTTTTGACAAATATTTCCAAACAAAAATTTTACCCATTTATTATGCCCCATTCAAAGATATGTAATATTATATTCTTTACTTAATTGTTCTGTATAATATAAAATACGAAATTTTCATTGAGTAAATTAATTAATAGATGGGCCTTGGAGGGGAAGAACGTATAATTTCCACATACCCAAAAAATTTACGCTTTATTATACGAGTAGTAAATTACTGCATGTAAATTTAACAAATAGAAATTTAAAAGAAAATAAATATGTGCTAGAGTATGAGTCTAAAACACAGCAAAGTATATTGGGAATGATTTTCGATGGCAAGCACAGATAAAGAACATAGCAAAAAGAAAAGTAGAACCAGAAAAAAAAATATATATATAGAACTATTGGTTCCTAGGTCGTGAATCAAAATTGACAACATACAACAAAGTGTTAATATATAATCATATAACAGAGCGTATATAAAGATACTTGTATCTAGCTTCGGGATTGCTCCAAGCATATAAAACAAACGCAAAAATTTTTAAACCAAAGCTCTTTGTAATATGGTGGGTGCTTTTTGGTATGTAGATAACAGCAACATTTATAAAGATTTAGTTGTCTCCGAAGTAAATTATAAATTTTTTGGCATGAAACTAAAGGTACGCAGAGTGTTCCAACACGATGAATAAAAGCTAAGCAGTTTAATTCGTTTTATGAATTAGCATTCAGGCGCCTTTTGATTGCGTCATCTGTGTCCTTCCTTTTAACGTCAAAAAAAAATAAAAAAAAATCATTTAAATACTATGTTATATGTTGGATAAAATATTGTATTTTGGCTTAAGCATTTGTTCGAAGTGGCCTGCAAATGTTTCATCATCATCACTATCGTCATTTTGTATTGTATATTTACCACTTATCAATAAATAAATTAATAATTACCTCCTTCATCGGTTGCTGAATTTTCAATTAAATTATTAAATGAGTTTTCTTTGTTTTTCTAATTTTGTTTTTTAAGATTTTGAATAAGTCTAAGTTTTCCCCATGCTGAATATTAAAATAAGCGTCACTCTATTTCTTGATACAAGTTCAACCAGTATGAGCACTCCATACATGCACCCTGAGCCAATCGGAACATTAAAACACCGGCTTGCTCCCTGAGAGCACAGACATTGAAGGATTTCTATATTCCTTCTACTTGGGATATTTATATACAACCTATATATTATATAATTTATTCGGGAGTTCAATGAAAGCTGTAGAAGACGTCCCGATAGTCATTCCCAAATAAACTTGCCTAGACCGTATTCTTAATCCTTTCAATAACCCTGTCTATATATTAAGTATCTCAGGATAGCCGATGGATTCATAAATTCCATATCCGTCACACTCCTGACAGAAGTATACAATAATCCTGCACCTCATTAGTTGAGTTTCAAATATACTGCAATCTGTGGATTAAGTAAGCGAAAAAATTTCATTAGAGACATACGATTCATCAACCCGACTACGTTCACGGTTCATAAAACTATACCCATGCGATAAAAAACCTCATATTTCTTTCCTATTAAAGAATTATCCTGCAGCTACTCACATAATAGTTGTTTAACCTGATCTCTAACTTTATAAAACTGTTTAAAATAGGCGATGTCAATGGGATCTTTTATAAACCTTTGAACATGAGTGTCTTTAAATGCTCTGGGGTTTCACAAACTTATTTAAATAAATCTTATGGGCATATTACTTCTTATGACTTTTAGCTATAGCAAGGTCCTTCAATAGAAAGTTTATTATTAACTTCTTTCCCTTTTTTGCTTTTACGTGCGTTTTGCCAGGATCTTTTTTATGGCTGTAAGTAAAGCATTCGTCGCTTCGTATAACATTTTTGAAACAGTTCCAGACTCCAGAATTGGCTAACACTTCTACTACTATGATTCAATGCATTGATTTCAGCGACCTCTAGCTAAGCTTAGGCTCTTTCAGGCTACTTTGATTTTCCTCATGCGGACTTTGGATAACCTTTTTTCAGGTTTCAATTCGTAAGTAAAAGCCACTTTGCCTTGTCTATCCCATTACTCTTGTCGATTGCCATTAATCGAACTATTCTTTAAGGATTCTATACCAGCAGTGTTCCTTTTGCGACTTTTCCTCTTCTGGGAATTGTTGGTTGTAATACATGGCCCTCAGTTTATCTGGGTGCGAACGTTCCCTTATATATATTTGAACCACCGTTTTGATTTTCTGGAGAAGTAATAAATTTGTTCTTCCATTCTTTAGTTCCACATTAGTTTGTTATAATTAAACTATGAAGAGTGAATACAAGTATCAAAGATTCTTTTGACCGACGCAGAAAATAGACCTTCTGTCATGCTGGTAGAGGAAATAACAACGTCTCGAATGTGTTTGACTGGGATCACTAATTATCCAAAAAACTTAAGAGGTAATGAATTGGTTAAAAAGTAGGAGGAAGAAACATAACTTCTTTAGCACATACTATAGTTACTATACGGAGGCAGCTATTTCTTAGATTGTACCTTGAATAAAGCTTGACCGAAAGTTCCGTATGCAAAGAATTAAAGCAGCCGTCTTGGACAAGATAAGAAAAGGTTAGAGGAATATTCGCAACATGCAGTCAATAGAACACTAAGGTTTGGATAGCTAGTGTTTTCAGAAAAACTCAACCTTAGAACCTGAACAATAGTACCAGGCCTGTGTCACCTAAGAGCCGAAAGACAAAGCAACCTTCAATGTCTCTAAGGACAATGTTTTGAACAATATAGAGAACGAAATTCCAACCACAAATTAGGGTTCTGGTACTGAAGATGCTCAACTTTTAGAAAAGCAGATTTAAAGCCCAATAGCTTAAGAATATAAAACGAAAAGAAAAATGACTGTTACAAATTTTGTGCTGTTTTGAAACAGCAACGAGATTTAACGATATTGAAAAGTACCTGAGACTTGTACCTGAGAGTTGTGAAGTTACGGCGAAGGAGTGTGCTCAGAGGAGCAAAAATAACGGGAGTCATTTTAAATTTTTTGCCTATCTTCCAGCAATTCCGACGATTTTGCCAATTATGCCTAACAGCAGATCTTTCGAAAAATCGTCGCATTATAATTTGCAAATAAAAGGTAAGTGAACTTTGAATCGAATTCATAAAATTTTCTTACTTGATGCGAAAGACTTGCTGTTTTAATTTACAGTTAAATCGTTATTGCGCACGTTATGTAATTTTTTAAATACCTATATATGAATATTTTGTGGGAAAAGTAAAGATAACACTCTTCATTTTCACAACAAAAAGCTTAAGAATAAAATAAATTTATCATTAAAAATGTCACTTAAAAACGCAAAGCATAGTACAAATTAGAAAATGAAAATAAAAATAGGATATATGAAAAAACTCTAGGGATATCATTCAAAATAAAAATTTCAACTAAAGAATTATGCAGTACCTTGAGAGAAAACGTAACAATATGTATTGATTACTATGTCGAATTAGATCTCTTAAAATCATGAAAAAGTTAAACGAAATCTAAAAGCTAGAATAAACAAAATTTATTAGTTCTTCCGTTACCATAGTTATATATTGGCCAATTGTTAAAAAAAATATGCGAGTTAATGATTTAAAAGAAATTTAGAATACTGCACAGTAACGAAAACTTTTTAGCTTTAAATTAATTGATAATTTACTTACCGAGCTGAAAAATTATTAATTGAGAAATTTAATGAGATCGAATATTTATGTTTTCGTTGTGGGTTTGTATTTAAAATGTTTTAAATAAAAATTTTGCTTTGCAATGTTTTGTAGTTAGCAACTATGTGAACTGTAAGTGTAATTTTTTATATCATTAGAATTTTTGTTTCAGTAATAACAATAATAGTGGAAAATATAGCAATTAATCGCACAGTTTTAAACGTAATGTTATACATATTTTGTTGAATTTATTGAATTTTTGTTTTTCAAACTTGTCTCTACTGGTTATAAAAATTTGAAATCTTGTCAAACATGAAAAGTGTATATATTATAACACTTTCTTATTTTTCATTGTCTACTATCATTCACTTGTTATTATTCGTTTTTAAATGGTTCAGCAATAATTTTTGTAAATCTTTTTCAGTACCATCCTTTAAGGTTTTTTATGTTTCGTTTTCTTTTCATTTAAGAATAACATAAAAATAATAATTCTCTGCTTCTCTCTTCTGATTGTAGCTATTTCTGATTCGTGGTTGAAAATATACATACTCCCTGTTTCCCTATTGGTTCACGCATTGCATTTGTGCTAAAAAATTTTTTAGTTTTATTATTAGGAGGTTGAACTTACATTTTGATAGCACTACTGGACTGTTTAGCATTAGTTGAGCTTATACGGAGAACAAAAATATATGTGAACTAAGTACTCTGCTAAAAAAAAACTTTTGCGTTAATTGAAGTTACATTTAATCGCTAGTCTTATACTTTTCTTTTTAATAATTTAATGTTGAAAAAATACAAAACCAGACTGTATAGATTTTTAAAATCAAATACCTAATTTGCGAAATGTGAAATTGATACGTTTTCGGTTATATATCCCGTTTTATGCAATTTTAGGCTAAAAATTTTTGCTTAGGAAATTTTATTTAAAAGTGTACAGTGCAATGTTGTCATTTACTGGAAAAAAATCATAAAACATGAGAATTTAGATAAATGAAAATTATAAATTTGAAAATTTTTGCCTCAAATTTTTGGATGTATTACACATATGAAAGAATTTATTTTTTTAAAGTGCTATAAACAACAATTGAATCAGTTAAAGGAAAAAATAATATTTGCTTAGCGTAGTATGCAAATTTGTCCACAGTGGATTTCTTTAACAAAATGGCCGTTGGACCGACGGAGGGAACTAATCCTCCACAATCGTTGGCACGTCATCATCAAATCGTAGCACCGAGTCCAATTCTTGCTGTACCAACTTTAGCATTTTCTGCAACACAAGTCGAAATCGTTTGCAAAACTTTAGAAGAATCGGGAGATATTGAAAGATTAGCAAGATTTTTATGGAGTCTACCAGTTGCTCTGCCCAACATACATGAAATAATCAATTCTGAGTCTGTTTTAAGGGCAAGAGCCGTCGTTGCGTATCATGTGGGAAATTTCAGGTTTGAATTTAAAAGATTAAAATATTACACTAACCTATCTTAAATTATTCTTTCGAACCAAAAGGGATCCAATTCATTCATTTCAGTTTATTTTCACAATTAATGAAATTAATTTTAATTTAGTACTCTAAATCATGTAAAAAGATCTTTGCATCTAAATACAAAATTGAAAATTCCAGAAATTCGAATAAGATATTTACTTTATTCGAATTTATAATATTGTTAATTATGTTCGTGTATAATTTATTTCTCAACTTTAAGATCTTTTTTTAATAGTCGTTCTTTTCCATGTATAGTACTAATTAGGAAACTTGAAGGAGCAGTCAATATAGAAAAGTAGAAATACTATTTGTAATTTAAGTCTGTTAAGCATTAATTTTTTTTGTTTGAGTAACAGGTTAATTTTATTTACGTTTTGCGATGTTTAGTTTTTCAATTAAATGCTTTTGAAAAATTTTAAATAATTTAGGATAATATTTAAATAATAGTTAATTTATAAGTTAGTATGAACTTTTTTGCATTATTTTTATTTCGTTTTGCCAATTACAACTCAAGGCTTTATAGGAAAAATCTAAATTATATTAGTTTTTCTGAACTTAATTAAAGGTTTAAAACTTAATGAAATGGTTTTTCTTAATATTCCAATAAAACTTATGAACAGATTAGTCTTGTATCGCCTTTCAAATTAGTTTTTAAGAAATTTCTTTAAAAAAAAAAAAACGAAATTCGAATTGTCATATTGGTAATGTTTACCTCCGTTGATATTAAAAAGAAATCATTCTTATTTTTTATCTCCTTTGAAAACATCAAATCAGAGCATTAAATTCTTAAGTGGTAAAACTTTATGTTTCTTATTTAATTATGCAGTTTATTTTGAATTTTTTCTTTTAACGGTTATAGAATATTGAGATATTTCAAATGAAGTATAAAATTTTATTATTTTTGCGTTGAGTATACAGATTTCCCTAACTAAGAGAAACAAAAAATTTGCAAAACAAAATTGTTCTTTAGATTTTGATCACAAATTAGAAATTATTGAGAATCATAGCACTAAAAATAAATAAAGTAAATAGAGAAATAACGAAAATTTTTGAGTTTATAAATTGATATAACGCTTTGATATTGAAACATTACACAAGCGAATATACTAGTAGGGCCAAAGTGTTTGAAAAAATTCGTTGAAATTTCTTGCCATACAATTTCAAAAGTAGTTTGGCATATCTAAAAAAATATTGAAAACACAGTACCGAAATTTTGCATAAATTATGGTTATATGGCAACTTAAAGTAATAGTCTGTTCCATACTCAGCTATGACATATTTATTCGCACATAGGATAACAATTTCAAACTACTTTTCAAAAATTTGGTCCTAAGATTTATGTATCTTCAAAGCATATATAAGGTTCAATGAAAATATAAAACTGATGTCTAACAAAATTAAATGCAAGAGAATGGTTGTTTCTTATATGTGGAATAAAACGAATCGATATAGTAAATGATCCATTATGTAATGATTTAGTATTGTATAATATTTTGACGAATTGCTATAAAAATCAGTCTTGTTCCTTTACTCAATTCAGTCTTACAGATAAATTTCTCAATATAGTTACAGTACAGTCTAATTAAATATTTAATTAATATGGCGATTATTCAGGAGAATTTAAGATATAAAAATATTCTAATGGAATATTTACTTACAAACTAACATTTTCTTTTTCAGAATTTCGCATTTTACATTTTCATAGATTAACCGGATATTTTCGTTTTTAAGGCTAAGAAATGCACGTTGATAAATATTTTCTACATCGGAGCAAGAACATGTAATCTTGTGCCAAAAATATATATAAGCAAAAGATGTATATTGGCACATAAGATAGGAAAGCACATACTTTTGCTTTAGTTTTTGAAACATTGCAGCAATATATACCAATACTATTTAGAGGTCTAAGAGTCTGAGATTATGAGTTAATTTTAAAATAGTTCAAAAAAAGAAAAATACGGCAATATCTAGGTTAGTATCGATCCAATAACCTTCCGTTTATCAGACTACCACGCTACTCACCAGGCTACGCAGTAACTTGAATTTCCCCTTATCATTCCATATTTTATTCATATTTCGTATAACTCTTCAAAAACCATCCCATTTCACATTATATATGTATATATATAGCTACTTCTCAGGTTCCAAAAAGTACGGGTACTTCTAGAAGGACTACGGACATGGGACAAAAGACATTAGATAGGTTTTTGCCTCTAGGGTTCCAGAAAAATTATTGATTCCACCCACCCTCCCCCTTCACCGCCTCCCAAGATGCTTTGTTACCGCTTTTACAAAATGGTACTACATCCTGTAGGGGTAAATTTTTTTACTAATTTCGGTGCAAATTAATAAAAAAAAAATTTAAAAGATTTATAAAAAGAATAGAAAGAAAATTTAAAAGATTTAATAAAATCTACACTGTTTTATAATAAGTATGTACCCATTTAGTTATGTATTGTTTTCGCTATCTGGTGCAAAATGTGTTAGTAAGCAAAACATAAGTGTACACTAAATTTCTTGACAATATATTTTTAGGACAAAATTTTATATGTTATAAAGTAAAGAAAATGTTACTCGTATTCTATTGCATTAAACTTCTTATAAATAGGGTATTTTCAAAATACTATTTAGAACGGAAACTCGCTGATATTGATTTGTTAGGGTAAAGCTTTTTTAATTTCATTGTAAATAAAAACAAAAAAAAAATAAAATTATCAATAAAAGTTTATCTGACAAATTTTTTTAAACAAATCGCATTTTACAGGGATCGAACTTGAGACTTTTTGCATAGAAATTGTGTGCCATACGCATTACCCTATAAACGTTACTTTTAGTGTTAACTGTTTATACGCGCGTTTTATTCGCATGTAAATCCAAACACATATTATGTGCATGAATTTTAGTAGCGAATTTTTTTTTGCGTAAGCAGTAATTGATCACTTAAAATGCTTATTGTCAAAGATATTAAGCATTTTAAGTGATCCTCGCTTAAGATTGTTAAGCGAGGTTCTGAAATAAATTACTCAAAAGATATTAGATCTCAAAGCAACTAATTATTTGCTTAATTATGTACTTTTTCGTAATCAGTTTAAGAGCTTTCCTTATTTTAAGTTTTATCTTATAAAATATTAGGAAAAAGACATATCTAAATGTATATTACGGGTGCGTTTTTGAAGAAAAAAAAGTAAACTTAAAATATCTCACATACTGAATGGAACACCATTTCAAAATTGCAGGCATAATACTTGCAAGACTTGCAATGCAAGCACACACGACTAGTTTTATATATTATGTATGTATTCTAAAAATTTGAATTGAATGGCTGGGCTCGGTCGAGTAGTTGCTATAAAAACCCTAAAATCAAATATAAAATAGGTTTTAGAACTTTGCAGTTTTGCGTTCAACTATAGATCAAATATATTCTTGAAGTTTTTTTGGAATGACATGCAAAGTTCGTTTTGGTGCTCTAAGTTTTAAATATTTTAAAAACTATTTTTATAGTCCGATTGTCGAAATGTGAGGTAAAATAAAGTTTTTACTTGTTACATTTATAAGTTATGTATGCTTCGCATTTTTTTAATTTGTTTAGTTTTTAATAAGACTTGGAATATTTAAGTCAATGGTCTTTTTTATTGCAATTAATAAATTTTTAGTCTAAGTAGAGCAAGCATAGTGTTTAGTTTTAACTAGTTTTGGGAATTTATGACCATCCGTTTTAGGTTTAGTAACGGTTTCCCACTATTGACAGTTCTGACACATTTCATCTCAATAAGTCGAAAGTTAATATAATCAGCTAACATCGATATTTCTTGCGCCCTGTTCCGCGAACCCTTTTAAAATCTATTATTTACAAGACGATGTCACCCTTAGCGTGTACTTTCAATTTGAAATTTGGAAATCTAATACATATATACATACACATATTATTTTTACTTTTTGCAATTTTCCAAAAAAAATTTTAAAAAAGGGGCTTATTAGTTTCACTCTGTCCGTCAATTCCTGTGGACACGTTTACACAACTTCTACTCCGAAGGTAGAAAGCTGAAATTTCTTATATAGATGTAAATAAAAAAGAAAAAAGAAGAAAATTATTACCTACCTCGCCTTTTCTGGGGGTTAGGTTATAGTCGCGAAACAGCCTTTGAAATTTGTAAGTTCCAATTTTTTGGAACCTTATATTTCTGAAGGTTTTTCAAATTTCTATAAATGCAGAAAGCTAACGGAAAATACGATAAAAATAAAATTTGTTTTCTTAACTCAAGCAACTAACCCTTTAATTCGAACGTTACGCTAACGCTCTTTCGAATTTTTATTTTAATGAATGAAAGTCATTTTAATAATGTATTAGCTACATAGATTTAAAGCAGTATTTAATAATACTACATAGATTTAAAGCAGTATTTAAAAATCTATTAGCTTTTAAAGCAGTATTTTGACGTATTGGAGGAAAAAGTTATACATTACAAATTAGTTTGACCCAACTTTGTTATTTTTATTACAATTTTTAGCTTAAGTACCTTGCAATCAAAATAACATATTATGTTAAATTAAAAATTTTAACATTATATAACATAAAAAGCAAATTTAGAAAACAAATGTGAATCTAAAATATACCAAAATACCATACCAAAATTTGAATCTAATTGAAAATTACAAATAAATTAAAAATGATAATACAATATTTATTTATATTAAAAATTTAATAACCATTAGATAAAGCAGAAAAATTAATACCTGTAATACCTATAAGATAACATAAAAGCTTTTTGGACTTGAAAGTTATGATTTTGAGCACTTTTGAAAAAAAAAGAAATTTGCGCCCTTACTTGTTCTTCCAGTAATGCAACCTTCCTAGCTCTGTAGAGAACTATGGTAGGGTAAAGCTCCAATATTATTAATTCTAATATAAAGCTCCTTATATTAGAATTAATAATACAAATGCAGCAAAAATGATATAGCTTAATTGGCGAAAAATTAATATTAAATATGAAACGCAATGATATAAATATATGTACGTATAGCATCTACACGTTTTTGTAGGACCTCAAATGATTGATAAACTGCATATAAATCTTATTCAGATCTTCTTACTTTTCTGAAGTAGTTATATTTATATTTACACACGAACACGTTTGAGGGTACCAGAAGCACCCGTCTTCAGTGTTTAAGGAATCGAATAGAAAGACAAATTTGTTTAAGTAATTTTTTCTGATTATTTAATCGGTTCTTAAAACTACTACACATACATAACGTACTTTAAAAAATTCAGTAATTTAAAAAAAAAACAATACATTGTACATATATTGCAGCATCTTAAAAAGTTAACAAATCAAAAAGTCCCTATATCGCAAGTGAAATCCTGTCTTTCTAGTTATTTAACTTTAAAAAAAGTTGATGTTTAAAAATTTATATTGAAATAAAATTATTTTTGTGCTCTCCTTGAGCATGGGTTGATTCATTTGGACTCAACGTGTCAAAAATTAATGAAGAAGTCGTAACTAACAGTAGTCAATCTGTTAGTAATATTTTGAAATGAACAGGAACTTAAATTTTATAAAGTTCTTGCAGTTCTAAATTTCATGTGGTTTTATTTTACCACCTGGATAATATTTTGGGTACGATGATACTAACGCTCTGCAAAAATACATTCTTATTGAAGTAAAATACTCGCCATGCAAGTTATACTCTATATAAGTGTAAAAACAAAACCAAAGTGGAACGACAGCGACGGACTATTTCCGTTCTTATCCCAGGACAAAAAACGGACCGGGAAAATCAAATGTCCAGTATTTTGCATATAAAACCGCACACGCATGGTGCCTAACACACACACCTGATGATAACAAAAAAACGCCAGCAGCAAAACGAGTTTTTAGGTTCTTTCAACGCCAACTGTAAGCCACGCTTCATTCTGGGAAGTCCCATTCATATACACACATTTTTCCGCGGTAAATCGCCCATGTTCTGTTCTAAACATATATCGTCCTAATGTTATAATATCATATTTCGCAAGCATTTCGCATACCAAAAAAAAAATCTGATGTGGTCAGCACTTAACCGACCTCAATGTGTATTGTCTAGTGAGATGTGTATTAAGTGAAAATGTTACGGAATATTATAAAAATGACTATTGAATACTTCTTTGCAATTTTTTAGGCACTGGTAAGCTTATAGTTAACATACCTAGAAAAATGTAAATTTGGCTCTTACTAGAATTTCAAATTGTGCTCCCCGAATTCCCTGAAATGCTCGCCAGTTAGTTTCAGTAACAAACAGAACTCAAATATCAAATTTCAAGAAATTCCATCACTTCGTGCCGTAGATGTGGTGAAAAATGTAAAATCGGCCTGATCTTTCCAAAAAATTTATATGTTCATTGTTTTAATACGAGGAATTCATATATTAAATTTCAATGAAATCGGTTGACTATTTCTCTTTATATACGCAAAAATGTATATTTGGCCCGTAGTAAACTTCCAGTTGCTGATATCGGATTTCTTCCAAAAATTAGGAAGTTTCGCGGACAGTCGAGCAAGGCTTATATATGAAATTTCAAGCAAATCGGTTGAATATATTCTTTAAAATGGTCTAAAATGTAAAACAGGCCCGCCAAAAAGTGCAGATTCCGAGGCCCGATATATCCTAAAAGTTGATCAATCCGTGGCATGGTCGAAATAAACCTGAATATAAAATTTCATTAAAATCGGTTCAGCCGAACTTGAGATACATGCGTGCACACACAGACCGACAGACCGACAGGTTGCTAAAAATAGTTTACTTACACTTCCCTACTATGGAGAAGTACATTCCCAAAGAAATTTCGATATGCAAAATTTGTTGCCATCACATAACCTACCTATTGAATACGCAATACGGTCGGTAATAAAACAATCAAAATTTTGTTTTGTTAACGGTAAATTCCATGACATTAAAAAATATAATAATTTTTCTTAACTCACACAATTAACCCTTGAAATCAAAAGTTGTACTAATTTATTTTTGCTTTATTTCAAAGACTGCATAAATCGTTTATCGTATAATTTCGTATATGAATGAAAATAATTTTAATAGTGTGGTAGGTATACATAGACTGTATTTAAAAGCAGTATTTTCACTTTTTGAAGGGAAAACTGCTACAATACAAACCATTGGTTTGACCTAACTTTATTCATTTTCTTTTTGTGTGTTATTTCTTCTGCAAACGTTGGAGATCTTACTTGGGCTAATACTAATACATTATTATATTCATACATTAATTTTTAAGAACTTTTTAACCTTGTTCAATTTCGGTTTCTAAATGTGGCAATTGTACACCATATCAATAGACATACGTTGCTCGAATAATCTTTTTGATTTTTGCATTACGATTTGAAATAAATCAATGATCCAATATTATTAGAATATCGTTTTAATACGAGTATAAGAAAAAATAAACTGCATTGAAATAAAAACAAGCATTAAATACGAAACCAGTTGTTCTTGCTTTTGAATAGCTCAGTAGAAAGCTTGGTGATTACTAATGAGTAATTGAACTTTCTCTTTTTTCAGTAATAATATATTGCTAAATTTAAAAATACTCCTTTTTTACTATTTTTTTTTTTTTGCACCACTGCTTCCTAATAGATTTAACCCTTCTAATATGAACGTCTTAAAATATATGGCAGAAAACAGGTAGAAAACATTTATACGTTAAATTAATTTTTGCTCCTTTATTTTAATTTTATACTGTTATGAATTTAGTGATTAAATTTTATTGTTATAATTATAGTTTTTTTCATATGATTTTTATTCATGTTTAGGGAACTGTATGCAATAATAGAAAACAACAAATTTACTAAGGCTTCATATGGAAAGCTACAAGCAATGTGGCTCGAAGCTCACTATATTGAAGCGGAAAAATTACGTGGGCGATCACTGGGTATGTAATTTTATTAAACTATTGATTTATGTTGTTTAAAACAAAGTATATCTTTCTATGTTTTGATTTTCTTTTTCATTTAAATAAGGACCTGTTGACAAATATAGAGTTAGGAAAAAGTTTCCACTTCCACAAACAATATGGGATGGGGAACAAAAAACGCATTGCTTTAAGGAAAGAACGAGGTCGTTGTTAAGAGAGTGGTATCTCCAAGATCCATACCCAAATCCAACTAAAAAAAGAGAATTAGCAAAAGCCACAGGTCTCAATCCCACTCAAGTGGGCAATTGGTTTAAGAATCGAAGGCAAAGAGATCGAGCTGCTGCAGCAAAAAATCGGTAAGATAATATAAATACGACGCTCATTATTTACTAAAAATGAACAATAGAATAATACCGTGTGGTTCCTAAATTAGTTCTAAGTATCTATTTCATTCTTGATCTTAAATTCTAAGTATTAATTTTTCCTTGATCTTAATTTATTCAAAAGTTCATAACAAAAACATACAATATATACAAATAAAAAATACACAATTTTTTATTTGTATATATGAGAAAAATTAAACAAATTTATATACATATGTATACATTACATAAATTTTTTTTTGTATTCGTTTTGTTGTTATTACCGACCGCATTGTGTACACAATAGGTAGGTTTTGTGATGGTAACAAATTTTGCTTATCGAGTTTTCGGTGGGAACACACTTCTCTATGGTAGGAAAGTGTATATAAACTATTCTTATTAATCTGTCGGTCTGTGTGTGCACGCGTGTATCTCAAGTTCGGTTGAACTGATTTGGATGAAATTTTATATACAAGCATATTTCAACTGTGGCACGGCTTGATCAACTTTTGGGATATATCAGGCCTAGGAAATTGGAGTTTTTAATGGGCATTTACATTTTTGTTCGTTTTGAAGAAAATATTCAATAGATTTATTTGAAGTATTATATATAAATTTCATTCGCCCCCTAACTTTTGGAAGGAATCAAATGTCAGCAACTGGACGTTTACTGCCGGTCAAATACACACTTTTATGTATATAACGAAAAATAATCAACCGAACAACAATGAATCTACAATTTTTTTGGAAAGATCAATCATTAATGATTGATCCCTGGTGTGTTACCAGAGATTACTGACAAACTCTTCGTATACTTCGGAGAGCACAAAATGAAACGCTATTAAGAGCCAAATTCACTATTTTTTAGGTATGTCAAGTAAAAGCTTATTACTCGTAGTGTCCTTAAAATTGTAAAGAAGTCTTTCAAACGCATTTTCATAATCTTCTGGAATACTTTTATACTGGAATAATAAGATTTTTTAAACTATTATGATTTGAGACAAATATTACTAAAATACTCTATACGATGTCTCGGTAATGCATTATTGAATTACAGCAGTAATTTGAATATTCTTTACCTCAATGTTGCATTCTTGAGGGACCAATTCCATAGGGTGTTTTACATTAGGTTGCACATAACTTGGGAAATGATTCTTTGGTAAATATCCAGCAAACAAAACTATAAGTGGGTTCGAGGGGGTGCGTGTTAGAGGTTTTCTGAGCTCAGATTGTTGCTTCATATAACAATCAGTCCCAGATTGTTGCTTCATATAAAAAAATGCTAATAAGTTTGCAATCATGCACCACGCATTAGTTATTAAGAATAATTGAGAGATCTTCATTTTTAGCACTTTCGAAAAATATTTTTGAAAAAAAGTCCTTATTAATTTCACTCTGTCCGCCCGTCCATTTTTTAACTTATTATTGCAGTCAAACAATATGCATTTTTCAAGTTTTGCTAACGCAGAAATATATTGGCTGATATCTTTTATCGCGACATACCATACTTGAACTTTAAAAAAACAAAATGGCCGTTTAAATTTTCCGTTATATAAAATTTTTTATGTAGTTTTTCTTCTAGACCCCCGATTGTAAGAGCCTAAATTTTTACCAGCTTTTACACTCTAATAAATAGTTTATTTCGTTAGAAGAAAATTTTTACTATCTCCACGAAATGGATACATATGGAGATTGAATTACATATATATATTTCACGGATAAAATGCATTTGCTCGTGAAAGTGGTTACTAAATAATAAAAAATGGTATTAACTTATCTTAAATCAATTTTTATTAAAATGTATAGGTTTTTAAGGGAAATTAAAAATTTTTGACTGTTGACATTTTCCTCAAAAATTTACCTTAAAAAAAGTGAAAAGACCAAACAAGATAAAGATTGTTGTGGTATCGATATCATAGTATAACAGTGTTCGATGTTATAACAAAAAATACTTTACCCTATGAACTAATTGAACTGAAATTTAAATCTTCGAGGAGATTTTCTACAGGGTTAACTATGTAAGTGAATCAGAAATGGGTAAATCTTTTGTTTAAAAAGAGTTATTAAGCATTTGTAACTGTATAATAATAGTACATGAAAACTCCTTTATATTTCGATTTTATCGCATTGTATTTTTCGTTTTAAAAGAACAATGATTTTCAAAAAAAATAACTTTTTTAAAAGTCAACGATTTACATACTGTCAGATTAGCCAAAGTCACAAATTTGGAAAAATTTATTTTTTTTTAATTTTTCAATTTCTTTTTTTTAAACTGCGGAATTTTTGAACGAATTTTTTTGTCTTTAAATTATGTCCTGATTTAAACTATTTTTGAAAAAGTTTTAAATAGTAGAAATTTAAAATATTAAATTTCTACTATTAAATTTCTACTATTATTTTAAGGTCTTTATTTGAAGGTCTTTTTAAATTTTTATAATCAAATTTATATAAAAAGTAAAAATTCAAGTTTTCTTCAAGATTTAGAAAATGAGCCAAACATGACTAGTTTCAAAGAGAATGGATCGTGATTTTAAAGAAAAAAAATTGGCTACATTTGACCCATTTGGACTAAAGTGGCAACACTGGTGGAGACCTTTTGTGAGAAAGATCTCAGCAGACTAATATTCGTTTGATCGTAAATTTGCAAAATTAAATGCATGGTTATTTTGTACGTTATTTGGTACGTTTTTCTATAATATTGCAAATGTTTTTTTTTGTATTTTATAATTTAAAGATTTTGAGTTAACGTTTTATTATCGTAAATAAAAATGATGTAATTTATTAATTATGTTGGTTTTATATTTTTATTATTTATATTAATTAATACATGGAAGTGTAATCAGTATTAGTATTAGGAAATTAATATATGGAAGTATAAGTAGTGTATATAAACACAAGCAATACAAAATATAGCAACTCAAATAATAAAAATAACTAATTGTGGCAAATATAGACAGAATAATAAGGAAAAAAACTATGAGAAATAACTTTTTGTTAAAGCGCATTTTCAGGGTAGTAAAAAAAGCACTTCGATAAAAAAGTTTGTTTTTAGCTCTTTTTCAAAAACATTTTGAAAAAAAAAGTGCCTGTTAGTTTCGCGGACAGAGTGAAACTAAAATGCTTATTAGTTTCACGGACGTCTGTCTGTTTTAAAATTTCTACACCCTCGAAGATAGAAAGCTGAAATTTTATATGTACGAAGATTTTTACTAAAACTTACTTCAGTAGAAGAACATGTTTACCTATCTGCGCTCCTTTAAAAGTTATACCCTCAAAAACCCTAAAAATGCCCCTTTTTGACTATTTGTAGCAGTGAAACCGTAAGCATTTTTCAAATTTTGCAAACGCAGAAATATAGTGCTTGCACTATCACGGTTTACCACATTTGAACTTTAAAAAAGCAAAATTTTGATATCTTTTTTCTTCTAGACCTCAAGTTGTATAAGTCTGAAATTTTAACAACTTTAAGTTACTGATAATAAGTTAATTTTAATAGTTACAAGAAAATTTTTTTTTTCACCTTCGACCGCTCTCAAGTTATCGCCTCGTGAAATTTGTAAAATTGGAATTTTTGGTACTCAATTTTTTCAAAACAGCAAGCTTCTTCAAGAATCTAAATGTTTATTAATGCAGAAAGCTAACGGTGAATTCCATGCCATTAAAAAATGTAATTAGTTTTCTTAACTCACGCAATTAATCCTTAAAATTGAACATTATGTTAACAACTCTTTAAATTTATTTTTGCTTTATTTCAAAAACTGCAAAAATCGTTCATCCTAAATGTATGCAATTCTTGAAATAGTTTCGTATATGAATGGCACTAATTTTAATATTGCAGTAAAGAGGTGGGAAACCTTTTTATCCAGTAAGGCCAAAATTCAAATAACAATAACTAAGAAACCGCATAAGCTTTAATACCAATAAAAATAGCTTATGTACAGTTATTGCTGTACAAATTCCATTTTTTGATTTTAAATACGGTTTTTATTTATTCCAGATTAATTGTTTTTTTATTTTGGAATCAAAATTTTTTATGCATACGTACATAAATACACATAAAAATAAATAAACTTATATTAATAAAACAAAAAACAATTCAATGAAAAGTGAATAAGTTAACATAAATAACAAAAACAACTTTAAATTCATTGTTTAATAAATAAAATTCAAGTTAAACTATATTTAGTGAGATATTTGCATTTTTTTCTAGTTGTAAGCAATTGAATATTTAAAGGGCATACAAATACAAAGAGTGGCGATGTGGGGCCGCCCTAAAACTCTTCTAGGCCACATGCGGCATCGAGGCCGTAGGCTTCCCACCTCTTATGTTGTAGGTATACAAAGCTAGATTGGTTTTAAAAGGAGTATTTTCACTTGTTGAAGGGAAAAGTGCTACAATATAAACCATTTGTTTGACCCAACTTTATTATAGATAACCTTTTATTTTATAAACATTCACCTATATAACCTTTTTATTTTATAAATAAACCAAATATTTTTCCGAAACAAAATATATTGTTGCACTATTAACTACACGCATTTGAAAAAAAAGGAGAACTCTTTCGAGCAAAACTAGAAAAGCAAAGCATAAACTTTGTTTATAAAACTTTTTGCAATGTTTCAAAACTTTCATCATATATGTACTTGGTCGCAATAATATAGCTACCATAATTATTTTCGTCTTTTCGTATGCCTTATTTTTTTTTTATTCTTTATTCAACATAATTTTTCAAAATTCAAAATTTTAATCGGTAAATAACTTAATAATATGTTATTTTGGGTATAAGAATTTATTTAAAACGCGCTTTATTGTTATTTCTTAAAAATTCTAAAAATTTAACTATTCTTATTCCTCATAATATACATTTTTAAATATCCTTAAAAATAATTGATAAAATTGAATTTTTTTAAAGAAAACTAAAACTGTGTTCAAAAATTAAATTACAGGTTATCTAAGATACTTTAGTATTGTTTGATATCTTGCAATTTGATTCTTTAATTTTTTCGTGAACTTAATTGATGTAGTACATACTCGTAAAATGAACAATTCCTTCTCACATGGCATATTTGAACCAAAGCTTTTTATATTTAAATTACTGTGTCAGGTTATACTAAGAAAACCATTCTTTAATTGTTTTGGCAAGTTTAAAAGTAACTTCATATTTCTTTTTAACTAAACTCACATTCCCGATTTCGCTACGAGGATGAATCACAAATTAACATATTATATGCCCATTTCATAAATTAAATTGTAAATTAATCTACCTTAACTAGTTAGTTAGATTTTAAAATCGTAAATTTTAACATATTAAACAAAAACTCGAGAAATTCTTTTTTAATTACATCTTTCAGAAATTAAGTCTTGATTTATTTTCCGAAAGATGTAATTAAACCCTTTATGTGAAATTTCAAACAAATCCTCTATGCGAAATTTTGAATGCAGCATGCCTTCTGAATCAGATATGATTGTTTTCTTCTATTTCAAAAAAATTAGTTTTAATGTACTAGTCTATCTCATTAAATTATATACAAATGTAACTCTCAAACTTCAAATTTATACTTTTAGGGTACAACAATGCAAGGATAATGAAATGTTAAATTTAGCACAACAAGATAGAGATATGATCCTTTCTCCAGTTCCTTCAACAGCATCGGATTCAGACATATCACTGGGGACACATTCGCCAATACCAAACCATATAGCATTCCAGAACAGCCCTGATTCAACGTCAAATAGTGTTTATGACAAAGATGAGAGTTTTCATTTGGAAGGAGATTTACAAAAAGAATTTTCGTCTGGCTCAAAATTGGAGAGCACAAATACATCTCCTGGATTAGTACCTTTTAGAAATGAAGTTAATTTCTTTTCCGAGCGTTATTTTCAAAATTTTTCATCTCTTCCTAATTTTCA